CTTACCCCAACTCAAAGACAACTGTTACAAGTAAATTTCTGCAGGAGCGTGCCTTTCTCTCATCATCACTGAAACAGCTGGGATCACATCACTAAGCCATCTTTATTTACACTTGGAGACGTTTTGACATTGATCCAGCTGCATCAGAGACAGCTGTCAAACTGAACATGATGTCTGACAAGGAAAAGAAAAGCAAACATAAATTAAAACAGCAGCAGAAGAAGATTTCAGAATTGTATGTATGATTTCTGTTCCCTTTAAACACAATTATAGTCCTTAAACAACCTACTGTTTACGTGATTTCTATCAGCATCTTATGCTGAATCTCATGAGCAATACACATCTGCACAATTTTCCAAAATGTATCAATACCTTGAAGATGAAGAGAAACATGTAATTGAAGAGCTGAGGAGACAAAAGGAGGAAGATTTGTGACCAATGAAGGAGAACCTGAGAATTGAAGAAAAATTCCCTTTACTTGAAGAGAACACATTGAACCTTTATATGAATATCAAGTAGCTAGTCAGTATCTTTTTTCAATGTAACCCTTTACAATCTAATCCTCAAGCTGTTTGACTAAGTGTACTTTGTGATAGGTCTCAAACCCCGTCACCACAATGCACAACGTACGGTGTAACAGAGGGCAAACAGGAATCAATCAAGGGCTTTGAATGTCAAAGAGATTGTCACACACAGTAAAAATCTGACAGTGGCTGCACTGTAACTGAAACCAGAGTGGCAGAGTAAAGATGCACTGCACTTTAAACCATCTATAGATCCCTCATTTTCAACAAATATAAAGAATTCATGGATTTCTTTGTGACCAAGACAATATTATCTGCTCAGTTGCTTTCACCATGTCCCTCCCTCTCTTAGCCCACCTGGTTAAAGTTCCTCTAAGTCTTCCCCTTACCATAACCTTGGAATACAGATTTTCCTTTAGATTTTCTCTTATTTCTGGTTAATCCTTTCTAGGCTAATTTTGTTCATGAAACCCAGCCCTTCCTTGTTAAAACATATTCCCATTAAACAGCTGACCACCCAACTTCCCCATGTTGTTAATAGTTCACTCTCTTCAAATTTGATTTCCGTGTTTTGAAATTTCCCAGTTTCATTCTATTCCAAAACTAAGATGTCCTTGACCTTCTGTCCTTGCAGGTTACTTCATCTCGGAACTTCTTCAGCTCTTCTCGAAAGTCCACAAACATATTGTCACTTCTCAAATCTATGGCTACGTCTCCTGGAATTGGATGTTTGAATCACTACAACCAGATTTCTGTCCCAGTCACATTAGAGAAATATTTCTTTTCATAGTGGCATATAGCATTTTGTGTTTCTGTGGAAACAGTAAACTATCCTTCCTCATTTTATTCCAAAGTTCCATTGTCTTTGAAGTGGCTGGTATGCCATCACCTTCTCGAATGCCTCTCCAGCATGGTGGGACAGTACATGCCTAGTTCCAGTCCTATCTAGCTAATTGCAGCCAGGAAATCACCATCAATGACTTCTCTTCCAGCTCCTGAACCAGACCTTTTACAAATTTGGTGTCATATTTGACCCCAAGACGTATTTCCAACTCCTTCCTTGTACCATCATTGATATAACTGATTTCTACCTCTGTGACATGACAGGGTAGAGGGAGGGTTTATCTCAGTTGGCTAGACTGCTGCCATGCAGCTCAGATTAATGCCAAAATTATAGGGTTTGATTTCCATTCTGGCTGAAGTAGAAAAGGGCATGCTTATTTACCTGTAATACACTGTCATGGACAGGTGCATTAGCAACAGGTAAATTTATGAAGATTTGTTGAAGTCATTTTTTTTTCATCTTGTTGGTTATCTCACCATTTTCCACTACCCAGTCTGGCAAAGATACCCTACAGAATTGAGCCAGCTCGCTCAATAGGTGGTGCTACTGTGGAATTCTTTATATTGGACATTGAATTCTCCCATACAGAGCACATTCTGTGCCCACGATCACCTGAAAGCTTCTAATTAGTGTTCAACATAGAGGACTGCTGATTCACCATTCATTGACATTGTGGCTGATCTGTGACCTAGCTGCACATTAAGGTTTTAGAGTAGATTTGTAGCCAACCACAACTAGCTGCACATTTTTACGTTCTCCTCAAGTCACTTAATCTTGTTGTTAATGAAAAAACTCTTGACTTCAGATTTAAACATTTATCTCGCATTTCTTGTGACAGTTGAATCAGAGTCCAAACATCTATTAGCATTTTCCATAAAGGAATTCCCAAATTCACTCGTGGGGAGTCTGGTTCAGTTGTTTAAAAAGATCTCTTGTCCTAGACTCCCAATTCAGCAATCATAGCAAGATGTTTGACTGTATAGGCATTACAATGAATCTACTCTCCTTGTTCTCATCTGTTGTGTTCTCAGGTACTGAATATGTTGCCCTAGAGCTGCCTAGAGGTAGCCAAGAGATGGTACAGCTAGTATTTCACTTTTGAGTGAATGCTGAGATTAGATGCAACATCACTGTCACCAGCTTAGGGCCACAGAGTCAGGCTCTATGTTACTTGTAAAATAGAAACCAGATATAAAATTAACTGATCAGCGAATCTTCAAGGGATTCAGCAGTGGAGGAATCTCGTTTGAATTTGTTGGAGGGAAGGGGACATGCGGATGTGGTAATTGAAATGCTATCACTTACATCATCAGTGAAAACTCCACATAAATCCATTCATATTTTACTAAAAGCATTAAGTGTATTATTTAACGATGAGCAATCTGAACAGCTCTATATATTTCTAAAATTGCTTCTGACTCTGTGTCCTGCAGGAACTGAAGAGATTGAGAGAAAGGTGAGTACTTAATCCAAACGCTCACACAGTGGTCACAGTTTATATCCAGCAGTGAGTGATTAGATCAATCCCATTTAAACACGTACCCGGACAGAGGGTAGGAAGAGGAAGGCAAAGAGTGTGGTGAAGATAAAGAGATATGTTTGTTTCCAAGAGGGAAGTGCACAGGATTTCCAGGCACATTACTCTGCACAGTGTGAAAATGAATGAAACAGATCATCTCTCCAGATAAGAAACGCTGCAGAAATAGTTTCTCTCTGTTTACACAATTTGGCTGGAGCTAAGCAACAATAGGGGTTCTATGAAATTGCTTGGTGTATTCTGTAGGCTATCACCTAATGGGAAAGCTATAGAGGAACAAATTTGTTCAGAGAAATGCAAAACTTATAGAGCAGCTATAATAGTGGAATTTAATGATTCTAATATAGACTGAGTTAATAATAGTTTAAAGGGCAGGGAGGGGAAAGAATTCTCAGTGTATGGTGAGGAGAATGTTCTGTGTTTCCAGTGTGTGAAAATCTGTTTTTTGGAATTATGACGGACCAAATGGAGGAAGGTTTAGTAAGCAAACATTAAGTGGACAGTGATCGTTGCAATGAAAGATTGATTGGCTACTGAAAATGACAAGGGACAATTCAGAATAAGAATGTAATTAGGGGAAGGACAACTTCCATGAGTTGAGAACAAATTTGATCCACATAAACTGGAATCAAAGATTGCCAGGTAAAACTGTCATTGGACAATGAGCTGCCTTCAGATAGTTTGGATACAGTTCAGGTAAATTCACATGAGGTGGAAAGGTGAAGCAAACAAAACTAAATCTCCCTGAATGTTGAAATGGATAGAAGGTAAGCTGAAGCAGGAAAAAGGTGTGCATATAAAAGATGTCAGGTGGATAATACATGTAAGCACGAGTTCAATACGGAAGGTGGAAAGGGGAATTGAAAAACGTCAAATAAGAGAAGCAACGAAAGAGGAACTCGCAACTAACATAAAAGGATAATAAAAGAGGAATCATGCAGATTATAGTCCTAAAAGGCAAGTCTTGCATTAAGTCAGGGGACATGGTTGAGATACCAAATGAGTACTTTGCAATGATTACTGTCCCCTTAATGTTCGCTTCCTGAACCTTCGTCCATTTACTCCAACATATTCCTAAAAATCGGGAAAGAGGTGCATTGAAACACTACATTCCCTTTATCATGACTTGGAAGTACATTGTTTTTTCTTCACTATGTACAATCAAAATGCTGGAATTTCCTTTCCGATAGCAGTATGTGTGCGTCCGCATTGTATGGATTGTTCCAGTTCAAGAAGATGACTCACCACCTTCATTTCAAGGGCAATAGGCAATGAGCAACAAATGCTGACAAATGCTCACAACCTGAAAATTAGCATTTTGAAAAAAAAAGATGTAAGAATGCTTTAACAGGGAGTGAAAGTTGTTTTGAGACAGAGGTATGGATAGAAACTCAGATAAAGATAGCTGAATAAAACAGAGTAACAGAAATACAGAGGTACAGGTAGAAACTCAGATGGATACAGCTGAATGAAACAGAGAGTAACAGAAATTAGACTGATGAGGATATAGACAACCCTAGAAGGTTAGGATCAGCAAATGCATGGCGAAAAAGAAGAATTCCGAGTCACACACCATCTGGCTTAGAACTGCAGCACAGGAGGCGCCATTCGGTCCGTTTATATCCCGTCAACTCTTCTATTTCCACGCTTTGGTACACGAGGCCCCGCGAATTCACATGCTACAAGAGCCGATTCATTTTCCTTTTGTGTTTGAAATCTTGGAAATGAACTTCAGACAGTTATCTCCAGCAATTTACGTTTGCTAATTCTGTGGCGCTGAAGACGGTGTCGATGCCTCAGTCATGGCGGCTCGATGTCCCAGAAGGGGCCGCGCCGCTGAAACCGCCTCCTCCTCAGGCGGAGATGAACAGTGCGCAAATGCGGGAGATGCCGGCGGCCGGTAGTACACGAGAACGCATGTGCGCAAGGTGCCTGCGGAAAAGATGGACGGAGGGCGCTTGCGCGGGAGGCGCAATGAGCCGGCAGTGGAGGAGAGCGCATGCGTTTGTGGTACCGGCGGCCGAACGTGGGAAAGGGCGCATGTGCGAGACGTGCCGGCGGCTGGCGGTGAAGAATAGCGCATGCGTGGGAGGTGCCGGCGGCCGGCCGTGGTGGAGGGCGCTTGAATTATTTCTGGGGAGTGGGAGGCCTCTCCCCAGACTCCATATGGAAGAAAGAGAACCCAAGGGCGGTAAGTAGTTGGGTAGGCGGGCTGGCCGATCGGGTGGAAGGCGGATCCGCTAACAGACCCGCCGTCAGCTCTTGGGGCCGGGTAAAGAGGCGGCGGCTCATCTCCCGCCTCCGAGCGCAGAGGCTACCCACACCCGGAAAATAGACAGTACCAAACCCAGGGATCTGTTCATATCCCAATCCCGGACCCGTCTTGACCGCAATCCCTTAGATTCCTCCTGATCTCAATCCCTTAGATTCCTCCTGATCTCAATCCCTTGGATTCTTCCTGATTCTAATCCACAGGATCCCTCCTAATCCCAGATCCCTCCTAGTCTTAAAAGCAGAGATCCTTGCCCAACCCAGTGAACATTCCTGATCCCAATCCCATCTCCTCCTGATACCAACTTCAGATATCTCTCATGATCCCCAATTCCTTCCTGATTCCAATCCCAGAGGTCCCTCCTGATCTCAGTACCATCCGGATCCCAATTCCATCTCGATCCTAACCAGAGATCCCTCCTAATCCAAATCCATCCCAAACCCAATCCCAAAGGATTTTCCTGAGCGCAGTTCCAGCGATTGCTCCTGATCACAATCACAGCTATTCCTCCTGGTTCTAACCACATAGATTCCTCCTGATCCAAGTTCCAAGGATTCCTCTAATCCAAAACCTAGAGATTGTACCCTGCCTTCCAATAACAGAAATGCTCCATTCTGCCTCTCCCATTTCTTGAGATTGTCCCTCCCTCTTCCCAATCCCAAAAATTTCCCTTTTCCTGATCCCAAATGTTTGCCTCTTTCCTTTCACAATCCCACAGACTTCCACTCCATCCCAATGCTAGAGGGATTTCAAAGTACATTCAGTTATAACTTGCAAAAGAGAGTCAAATAAATACTTGGGAAGGAAAGAATTGGAAGGTTATGTATAATGAGAAGGGGAGTGAGGTTCCTGAATAACTTTAGCAAAGAGCTGACACAGAAATGAGGGCTTTTGTTCTGATTGACCCTGGAGAATGGATACTAATGGCAATACCAGCACTTACTGTCAGTCTCTGATTGCCCTTGAGAAGATAATGGTGAACGCCCACCCCCCAATCCTTGGAGTACAGATATACGGACAGTGCCGAGGGGAAGGAGTCAAGGGCCAGAACCACAGAGATGCTCTGAGGGTCCGTACTTGCGAATCCCTACTCATTCATTTACAGTTTCTGCAACTGCAGCTGGCAGAGACCTGGAGTTCAGCGCAGCAGCTGGAGAAATGTGAGGAAATGTAGAAGGGTATATTAGGAGTTTAAAGAAACAATGATATTGTTCAAATCAGGATGGTTTGAGGCTTGAAGAAGAACTTTTGTATTGTCCTGTGCATTTATTGCTCTTATCCTTTCAGGGATGTGATGCTGTAGTTTCGAAAATGCTTTTGAACAAGTCTTGCTGCGGTGCATGCTGTAGATCGTATATGTTGCTGTCACTGTGCATCAATGATAAAGACACTGAATGTCGAAGATAATGGATGGGGTGCCAATCAAGCAGGCAGCTTTGTGCTGAATGTTGCTGAGCTTTTTGAGTGTTATTGGAGCTGCACTCATTCAAACAATTGGGGAACGTTCCATCACACTCCTGACTGCAGATGATGAACAGGCTTTGGGGAGTCATTAAGAAGTGGCTGAAAATGGTTTGACCTTGGACACTATCCTGATATCAGTACTTAGGGTGCTATGGCACAGCGGTAGTGGCTCTGCCTCTGAGCCGGGAGGCCCGATCCAACTTACATCTGCTCCAGAAGTTTGTAATAACATCTGTCTGAATGGGTTGATAAGAAAATCAATATCCCTCCTTTAGGTAAGGAGATCAGAATTTCCCACAGTACTCCAATGTGGTTTGACTTCTGCCTTGTAGCAAGGCTTAACCTGGTGTGAATGCTTAGGGCTCTTGTGGCGCAGTGATAGTCTCACTATCTCTGAACCACGAGGCCTGGGTTCAATCCCACCTGACGTGCGCTATAACATTTCTGAACAGGTTGGTTAAAAATATCTCTTCTGATATCATTAGGAATCAGAAGGAAAAAGTAGAGAGTCATACCAAGCACAAAGCAAGATGGTAGTAGATGTTGAAGTCCAATTCATTCCAGCCACAGGACATGACTGCAGGAGTTTCTCATAATAGTGCAATGCTTGACTGAGGGTTCTGTTGGGTCATGAGGTTGCAGAGTGTTGAATATAATTATTGCTGCTGATGGTCCACCATACCTCATGGATTCCCTGTTTTGAGTGTCATTAGCGCTCTGGATCATTTGGCATGGTGTTAGTGCTCCACAACACAATGGAAAGGTATGCTTAATGTGAAAACAGGACATATTGTTAGCCCAGTAACAATTACAATTTTCTGTTCAACTCTTTTTCAAGGGCTGTGTGCATTGCTGGCAAGTACAGCATCCAACCTAAAGTGCCCGGAACTGGGTAACCTGTGAGGTGAGTTTGGAAGGCAGTTAAGAGTCAACCACTTTGCAACAAATGCTAATATCCTTTACACTTCTTTACACATTCTTTGCTTCTTTTGCAGTGTTACCCTGGCCGGCCTCCCTCATTCCACCCTTCATAAACTTCAGATCATCTCAGGGTAGCGGAGTCCAAAGCTAGAGAGCAAAGGTTGAAGCTGAGAGGGGAAAAATTTAAAAGGAACCTAAGAAGCAACTTTTTCACGCAGATGGTGGTGCATGTATGGCATGAACTGCCAGAGGAAGTGGTGGAGGCCAGTATAATTACAACATTTAAAAGGCATCTGGATGAGTACATGAATAGGAAGGCTTTAGAGTGATATGGGCCAAATGCTAGCAAATGGGACTAGATTAATTTGGAATATTTGGTCAGCATGGATGGGTTGGACCAAAGAGTCTGTTTCTGTGCTGTACATTTCAATGACTCTTTAACTCTTAACTTGCACCAAGTAATGTTCCTCTATCATCCCTCTGCTCGCTGTCCTTCATTTTTGGTTAAGCAATGCTTTGATTTTTAAATTCTCATCTTTGTTTTGAAACCCATCCACGGCCTCTCTCCATCCTTTTAGTGCTTCTATCCTAGCAATATCTGAGCTGTTATCGTGGCTTTAACCACATTCTCGACCTTTAATCACTTTCCCCATTGCGGGACATGCTTTGGCTGCCGAGGCTCTAATTACCTTGAATTCCATCCAAAACATGTCTGTCTTGCTCCTGTTTTAAGATGATACTTCAAGTCTTCCCCTTTGTCTAAGCTTTTAGTCACCTGTCCTAATCTCTCCTTATTTGGCAAAATTGAGTTCCTGAAGCACTAATAGTCATAGAGTCATACAGCACAGAAATAGACCCTTCAATCTAACCAATCCATGCTGATCATAATCCCAAAATAAACTAGTCCCACCTGGCTGCACGTGCCCATATCCCTCCAAATATTTCTTATTCATGTACTTATCTAAATGTCTTTAAACGTTGTAGTTGTATCTGCATCCAGCACTTCCTCTGGAAGTTCATTGCACACACGAACCACTCTTTGTGTAAAAAAAAAATGCCCCTCATGTCTTTTTAAAATCTTTCTTCTGTCACCATAAAAATATGCCCCCAAGTCTTGAAATCTCCCACTTTTTCCAGGGAAAAGACACCTGTCATTCACCTAATCTATACCCCTCATGATTTTATAAACATCTATAAGGTCACCTCTCAACCTCCCAAGCTCCAGTGAAAAATGTCTTGAGGATAACTAACTGCATTGAAGGTGCTTTATGAATGCAAATTGTTTTCAAGTAAACCCCATCTAATTTTACCAGCTCTAGTATTCTTTTTCCTCCAAGTCACAGATCCTGAGGCCCCCATCTTTGACCTTGTTTTTTGTTTTGCAAATGCACGTCAATGTAAGTTGTCTTGTCATTGTGTGCAATTCTGGGAGCTGTACTTTACAAGGGATAGCAATGTGATCAAACGGGCAGAGAAGAGGTTTCCAAGGATGATTCAAAGGATGGGGACTTGAGTTATGTGGAGAGAATGGAGAAGCGAGTTCTCTTCTGTCCTCTTGGAGTTGCGCAGTACGAGAAGAGATTTTATTGAAACATGTAACATCCTGAGGGAAATTGACAACGTAGTTACTCGGGGAATGTTCTCCTTTTGAGAAGTAGAACGAAGGGACACAATTTAAAAATTAGGGATAGAGTCATCGAAATGGAAATGGACTCTTTGGTCCAACCAGTCCATGCCAACTATAATCCCAAACTAAACTAGTCCCACCTGCCTGCTGCTGCCCCATATCCCTTACACCTTTCTTATTCATTAACTTATCTAAATGTCTTTTAAATATTGTAACTGTACCAGTATCCACCAGTTCCTCCAGAAGTTCATTCCACACATGAACCACACTGTGTTTAAAAAAAAATTGCCCCTCATGTCTTTTTTAAATCTTTCTCCTTTCACCTTAAAAATAGGTTTCAGAGTCTTGAAATCCTCCAGCCTAGGGAAAAGACATCTGCCATTCACTTATCTATAGCCTCCATGATTTTATACATTTTATTTAAGACAGAAATGAGGTGAAATATTTATTATTTAAATATTTACCTCAGAGGGTCGTTGTTCTGTGCAGTTGTCTTCCGCAGAGAGCAGAGGAGGCTGAGTCATTAAATATTTGTACGGCCAAGTTAGATGATGTTTAATTAACAAGTATGGGGTAGACAGGAGAGTTGAGGCAAAGCCGGAAGCACATCATCCACAAATTTATCAATGGAGCTGAATGGCTTGTTCCTGATTTGTACGCTCTCCTTAAAGAGATAGGTTTAAGCAGAGACTTGATAGAGACAATCAGAATTCTAAGATATTTGCACAGAGCAAATCAGGAGAAACAATTTCTTCTGTTAAGAGGTCCTAGTTTGAAAGTAGTTAGTAAGTTACCGAGAGAGAAAATGGGAAATGGATGACCAGAGAAGTTTGCCGAGATCTGAAATGTCCTAACTGCAGGTGTGATGGTAGCAGATACTGCAAGGAGTTTTAAAGGCAGTGGGACATGTACTTAAAGAAAAATAATTAGCTGAATTGCAACGGAAAAAGAGGAAGTCTTGTGGGGCAGCGGGTAGCATCCCTTCTTTGGAACTGGAAACCCAATTTCAAGGCCCAGGTCAGGACCTGATGGCCAAGAAAAATTCATAATGTGGCCAAACAGGTTGAATATCAACCTGCAAATCCCTGTTACAAAGGCCGATGGTAGGGGTTTAAGAGTTGGAGAGATTCCTGGTCAGCCATGTGATAGGAAGAATATTGAAGCCTCTATCATTAGAGTTCATAGCGGCAGTGTACAACATGCCTGTGGAAAGTGTGTATTGCCAGAGCAACTCAGATTCCTTGAGGGTGGCCAGTTGGCCAGACCAGCTTTTAGGCAGAGAAGACGGAGGTGGAAAGAAACTGGGGCGTGCGACTACATGGGACAACACTTTCCAGGGACCACTACATGCCTGAAGGAACAAATAGTCTGTTTCTGTGGTACTAGATTTTACACCTGAGGAAATCTTAGAACTTAGCCAATGTGTAGGCTACAGACTAAGTGCAGGGAAATGAGATTGGTATAGTTTGATGTTTGCTGATTGACATAGACATGATGGGCCAAAGGGCTTGTTTCTATGCTCTGTGACACTATAACTTTATGTTTCCCGAGTGACAAATTAGTTATATCATGTCCTAACATTACCAGTTAATGGGATGTGGATGGGAAAGGAATCAACTGATATGCTGGCTGGTAAATCCCGTGAGCATTGGCATGGACCGATTGGGAATGGCCTGTTTCCATAATTTGAATTCAGTCATTCTACCAGTGCTCCACTCCAGTGTTGTTTAGCTTAGAATGTCCTCCGGTCTCCCAAAGCCACCATTTATACATAGACGGAGAGATCTCTTCACATGAGTCAGGACTGGAACTTTTCGCAGGCTTTGCAGCCGGCGCTGAAACCTTTCCAGCCTCTTGTTGGGGTAAGACCCAATAATTCTAATTGACTAATGTCTTAATTTAGGATATACCTGCTTCATCAATCAGCAGATCTGTCTACTGGAAGTGGGTATGTTGGGAGGTGGGGTGGGGAGTGGTGGAGTCCAAAACTAGGAGCCATCAATATAATCAGCAAGAAATCCAATCGGGTGCTCAGAAAAAACCTCTTTACCCCAGGGAGAGGTTAGTATGTGGCATCAGGAGGAGATATCCTAGTGGTATCATTAACGGCTTCTTCCTGTGCTGCAGGCCCGATGTAATTCAGTGTAAACTTTACTCCATTGTACAAATGGATCTTTAATGCTTCCCACTGTTTTTCAACAGAAATCTCACTTGGCGCATCTTTAGTGCTGATGGCTGTTGAATTATGTGGCAGAGGTCACTGACTGCCTGACCAGACCAACCAAACCTACTTGCAGCTGCTACATTGATAAGGTAACTTGCTTCATGTCGCTGTCTCCTCAGCCTAGCTGGACATCCATTGTTTGGAGCTATTGGTTGGCATTTGGATCCTAAAACTATGTCTAAACAGTTTTTAGATAGTCCCAAGTGATTTGAAACTCCACCTTCAACATTAGCAACCCTGAGAGTAACCATGATGGAGCATAGTCAAAGCAGGAACATCCAAGGCCCTGTTTGTGTACAATTGTTACATTGTGGTGGGGCATCTTTCTGGAGGTTTTGCCACATGTCTTTCATCAGCCCAGGCTCTTGCTGTTGGTCATGTAACCAAATACTTTAAAAGCAGGAATGAGGCACTTGGCTCCCTGAGCTTGCTGTGCCACTCAGTTGGATCAGGGCGATCTAATGACCCCACAATCCTAGCTACCCCAGGTAACTTCTCACACACTTCAATTTCTATCAGTAATGAGTAACAGGGAGAATCATTTTTAAAACCCCACAATTAGGCTATACATCCTCCTGCTTACATTTTCGCAGCTGCTGTTTTCTTGAGGTGAATCTTCAATGAGACATCAGAACAATCTGAGAGGGTTGCTAACCTCTTGCCTGTTGCCAAGGGTCAGCATCTCAGCTGGTCTGAAAACCGACTACGATTGGATGGCATTGGTAGCGTATCGGGTATGGAGTTAAGACGTACAACCCAGAGTCCGTCACAGAGCACCACCCCCGCCAACGCTTTCCCCTCCACACCCACATTTTCCAGGGTTCTGGTCCCTGACCTGTTGCCCCATATGTTTTCTACACAGGTCCCACTCCCCATTTGGGTCGTCCCGGTTGTGGGAAACGTACAGTTATGTCCCAGGCGGTGGGCTTTCGAGTGGGTGCGGAGTTCTCATCGTACAGCGAGCTGCACCGTGAGTTCCGGCGCTACCAGAGGGATTGTGCCGTGCAGCTGTGGACCAGGCACTCTCGCACCATCGAGGCCCAGAGGCGGAGGGCACCCAAACGGCCCATGAACGACGCACTCAAGTTCGCCGAGATCGACTACGCTTGCATCCACGGGGGCAAACTCTTCAGGGCCAAAGGGACCGGAAAGCGGACAAACCAAAGGTGAGGGGTGGAGGGTTGCGGGGATCGTCGGCTCACTCTGTCTGAGTTGGTTCTCATGCTGTCACTGCGTAACTCTATAATCCACAGCAGAGCCCCAGTTGGAGTGTTTATAACACATCGATATATTCCAACTGGGGCTAGATTTCCTGGAAGGGTGCTGGAAGCAGAAACAATTGGTCACTTTCTAAAGGAACGTGGATAGCAATTTAAAAGTAAAGAAAGAGTTTGGGATCATGAGGAAGGGGTTGTGCAGTTGAATTGATTGGACAGAACTATCAGAGGTACTGGTTTGATGAGCTGAATGGCCTCCTCTGTACTGTCTTGTTCTGTAAGTGAAGTGAGTGACACTGTTCTCAACCTTGCCTTGACAAGCAACACCCCCATCCATTTCCACCCACCTGCTAACTTACAGCCATGCAAGACATGGAGGATCCAAATGTCCATTGCAGGTTGACATTAGTTCAGTATATGGTATATTTGCCTCTGAGTCAGAAGTTCATGGGTTTAAGTCGCCACTCTAGAGATTTGGACCAAAATCTTAGCTGAAAATTCAACTCCAGAGCCTTCTAAAGGCGTGCTACTCTGCTGAAGGCTCCATCTTTTGGATAAGGTGAGAAACAGAGGCCCCATTGCCCTGGGGAGTAGATGCAAAATACTGTATTATTTCAACAAGCGAGAGAATTAGCCCCAGTCTTCTGGGCACAAGTTATCCCCTAACCAGCCTGGCTAAACTAGATAATGGCCATTATTGCATTCCTATTTGAGGGAGCTACCTCCACTTAAGTCAGTAATTTCAACGTTACACTACTGACCACGCTTCAAAGAAGAAATAACCACACAGTGCTTTGAGAAGTCCAGAAAAGGGCTGTATAAACTGATTCTAGCTGTCAGGCTAAATCGTGTCCATGTCTGCACAGATACTACACTTTATTTGGCTGTGACCCTACTGGCAGACTTGTATGATGTTTATCACATAGAAGGAGACTCTTTAGCTTGTCAAGATTGTGCTGGCTCTCTGCAAGAGTAACTCACCCAGTCCAACTCCCTTGCTTTGTGGCCCTGCAAAAATGTTCTCTTCAATTATCCAATCCCCTTTTAAAGACCACAATGATATCAGCTTTGACTTCACTCTCGGGCAGTGCATTCAGAATCCTAAGCACTCGCTGTGTTACAAAAAGATTAACCCTGTGTCCCCTTTTGATTCTTTTGTCAATCATCGTAAATCTGTGCTATCTCATTCTCAACTCTTCAGCCAATAGAAACAGTTTCTTCCCATCCACTTCACACAGATCCCTCATGAATTGCAACCTCCCCCACTGAATCTCCTCTGCTCCTTCTGACCCCGGCTTTTGCAATGTAGGCACATTACTGAAGGCATAGAGTCAAAGAGCCATACAGCATGGAAACAGCCCCTTCTGTCCAACAAATCAATGCTGACCGTAATCCCAAAGTAAACTCATCCCACCTGTCTGCGCTTGGCCCGTATCCCTCCAAACATTCCTTATTCATGTATTTATCCAAATGTCTTTTAAGTGCTGTAACTGTACCTGCATCCACCACTTTCACTAGAAGGTCATTCAACACCCAAACCACACTCTGTAAAAAGAAATTTCCCCTCATGTCTTTTTTTAAAACTTTCTCCTCTCACCTTAAAATACACCCGCTAGTCTTGAAATCCCCCACCATCGGGAAAGGACACTTGCCGTTCACTGTATCTGTGCCCCTCATGGTTTTATAAACATCTATAAGGTCACCCCTCAACCTCCTACGCTGTAGGGAAACATGTCCCAGCCAATCTTGATAACTCAAACCCTCTATTCCTGGTAACAAATTGGTGAATCTTGTCTGAACCCTCTCCAGTCCTTCTTCACCTGAAATCTTATCTGTGTTCACCAACATGAGCATTTTTAAACCTCGTGCCCACCTAGAGTCTGTCCATTCAAGGTAAAATTGAAACTTATGTATTTGAATAAGTCTGGATTACAAACATGCAAACCAGCAGTTCCTGAGGATTCCATCTTGTTATTCAGTTTTTGATTCTTATGCAGGCTGTAAACAGGAATTTAATAATCTTTCTATGGTGCCACATGCTGATGCGAAAGGAGATTCAAAAAGTAGTCTCCCTCTAGCTCCTGACACAATGCTGCAATTGTCTGTTGCAGAACCAACAAGACCAAGTGTCCCTGTGTTATTAAAGTTCGCCTGTCTCCGGATGGAGACAAGTTTGTGGTGAAAGAGATGATTGAATCACATAACCACACAGTACAAGAGGTAAGTAAAACCAGCAAGCAGATTCCTGCCGGTGTGGAAATCCTGACACTAACATTGATGCACATTCAGTCATCACCTTCTATATAAGCTCTAGTTTCTGTCCCTCCCTCTCCCAGGTTAAGGCTGTTTCAAAAAGGTACACAAGATTGTGGACTTCATAAATACAGAAAGCGTACAAAAATAAAGTTCTACTAAATGTTTCTAATTCACTATTCAAGCATTAGCTGGAATATTATGTTCAATCCTGGGCACCAAGAAAGATGCCATGAACTTGTGGTGGGCACAGAAGAGATTGACTGGACTCGCACCAGGGATGAAGGGCTTCATAGAATTCCTAGAGTGTGGAAGCAGACCATTCGGCCCATTGAGTCACCAACATTCCGAAGAGCATCCCACCCAGACCCACCACTCTACCCTATCCCTGTATCTCGCACTGCCCATGGCTAATGCACATTCCCGGACTCCATGGGCAATTTTACCATTAGCAATCCACATAACCTGCACGTCTTTGGACTGTGGGAGGAAACTGGAGCAAGCCCGCACAGCCACGGGAAGAACGTGCAAACTCCACACAGACAGTTACCCGAGGGTGGAATCGAACCAGGTCCCTGGCGCTGTGAGGCAGCAGTGCTAACCACTGAGCCACCATGCCACCTTAACTTAAGTCAAGTAGACAGATTGGAGAAGATTCGCAGAAGGAGGCCATTTAACACTTTGGGACTGTGTTTGCTCTCTGCAAGAGCAAATCAGTCCCAACCCTACCACCTTTTCCCTCCACTTCTTTTATTTTCAGAAGTTGAACCAATTCCCTTTTCGAAGATCATAAATCGGTTTGCCTGGGCTGCACTCTCCGGCAATGCATTCCAGATCTTAACCCCTCGCTGAGTAAAAGCATTGCCTCATGTCACCATTGCTACTTTCACCAATCACATTAAATCAGCTTCCTCTGATTCCTGATCCTTCCACCTTGGAAACAATATCTCATTGTTTACTAAACAAAAACCAAAAGAACTGCGGATGCTGTAAATCAGGAACAAAAACAAAGTTGCTGGAAAAGCTCAGCAGGTCTGGCAGCATCTGTGAAGGAGAAAACAGAGTTAACGTTTCTGGTCTGGTGACCCTTCTTCAGAACTGATGGTGGCTGGGAAAACGTCAGTGTATATGCAGAAAATAGGGAGGTGGGTGGCGTAGGGAGTAAACGATAGGATAGAGCCCAAAGAGAGAGAAAGACAGTTGGACAGATGAAGGAGTTGCTAACGATCAGGCTGGGAGGGTGAATAGTTATTAATGGGGACAGTTAGTGACTAACACCAGGGGGTGTGTAGTGGCAGGCTATGTGGCAACAAGGCCTGGTGTTTGGGGTGGGGGCCTGGGACATGGGAGAGAGGCAAGAGATTTAACCAGAAGGCGAGACGGAAATTATTTTTGCACAGCGGGTTGTTACGAGCTGAGAAAGCGCTGCTTAAAAGGTACTAGGAGCAGATTCAATTATACAGTTCAAAAGAGAATTGTATAAATACTTGAAGATAGAGATTTGAAGAGTTGTAGAGAAAGAGTAAAAGAGTAGAACTGATTGGGCATCTCTTTCAGATAGCCATGACAGGCAGGTTGGGCTGAATGGCCTCTTGCCACACTAGATCACTTTTTGAATATGCTAATTTTTTTTTAGAAAGTGCTGTCTGCAGTAGCTGGTCAGACCACCTCTTGTTTCAACACCAAGTCAGGTTTTCAACTTGAAGATGCTGTTATGTTGAATACTGGGTTGCTTACAGTTGAAGCTGATGCTCTCCAGCAAGCTTGTGGGATCGCTAGAATTTTGAGCTTTGCTAGTACGCTGAGAGTAGTTTCATCTCAGATGTGGATGTGGAGAACAAAGACCTGGAGGTGCAGGTACCTAGTTCCTTGAGGGTGGAGTGACAGGTAGGCAGGATAGTGAAGAAGGTGTTTGGCACACCTGCCTTTATTGGTCAGTGCATTGTGTGTGAGTTGGAAGGTCATGTTGTGATTGTACAGGACATTGGTTAGGCCACTTTCGGGATCCTGGATTCAATTCTGATCTCCCAGCTATAGGAACGATGTTGTTAAACTTGAAAGAGTTCAAAAAAGATTTACAAGGATGTTGCTGGGGTTAGAGGGTTTGAGCTATAGGGAGAGGCTGAAAAGACTGGGGCTATTTTCATTGGAGCTTCAGAGGCTGAGGGGTTTTTTTTGTTTACTCATTCATGGGATGAGGGTGTTGCTGACCAGGCAGCATTTATTATCCATCCCTAATTACCCAGAGGGCGTTAAGAGTCAACCACATTGCTGTGGGTCTGGAGTCACATATGGGCCAGACCAGGCAAGAATGGCAGTTTCCTTCCCTAAGAGACATTAGTGAACCAGATGGGTTTTTCCCAACAAAGGATTCATGGTTTTCATTTGACTGTTAATTCCAGATATTTATTAAATTCAAATTCCACCATCTGCCATGGTAGGATTTGAACCCAGGTCCCCAGAACGTTTAATTGGGTCTCTGCCTGGATCCTAACAGACCAGCGATAATACCACTAGGCCATCACCTCCCCATCCAACCCTATAGAGGTTTATAAAATCATGAGGGGCATCGATAGGGTGAATAGCCAAGGTCTTTTTCCCAGCGTAGGGGAGTCCGAAACTAAAGGGCATAGATTTAACTTGAGAGGGAAAATATCTAAAAGGGACCTAAGGAGCAACTTTTTCACATAGAAAGTGGTGCAAGTATAGAATGAGCTGCCAGAGGAAGTGGTGGAGGCTGATACAATTACGACACTTAAAAGGCATTGAATGAGTGTATGAATAGGAGCAGTTTAGAAGGATATGGGCCAAATGCTGGCAGAATGGGACTAGATTAACTTAGGTTATCTGGTCAGCATGGACAATTTGGACTGAAGGGTCTGTTTCTGTGCTGTACATCTCTATGACGCTATGTGCAAAGTGTGCAGTTACATGTGCATTGGGGGATTTTGGATGTGCAGTTACTGACATGTGGGGTCCCGAACGTTCAGTTACTGACAAACAGACAGGATGTCCCCAATGTGTAGTTACTGACACACACAGTGGGGGGTTACCGGACGTGCAGTTACTGACACACACGGGGGTGGGGGTCGGCTGGGGTGGGGAGTGGTTGGGGTGGGGGTGTCCGGGACGTGCAGTTACTGACACGCACGGGGTGGGGGTGGCTACTGGACGCACTGTTAGTGACACATGCAGGGCCGTCCTGGACACGCAGGTACTGAGTTTAAGTTGTCCCAGATGAACAGCTGCCAGAGCGTGAGGGCCCTTCAAGTTTTCTTGCCACGGGTGCTGGGATGCAGTTGCAAGCACACAGTCAGTGATATACAAGGTCACAGCTGCCCAGTTACCCCTGCAGAGGGCTTCCTTAACATACCTAGACATGCAAGGGGCACAGACAATTAGCAGTGTGCGCGGTTCAACCCGCAGGGACACAGATGTGCAGTTGCCTGTGTATAGAGTCAGATACACAGGGTCACTGACACTTGTACCTTCCTCATGCCAGTACAGTCGTGCAGCTGCTGATGTGGCCTGTCATATCCATCAAGAGCTTCAGGCATAGTTGCAGGTGTACCTTCCGTGAAATTTCTGCATGTGACACAGCATGCCACTTTCTGAAACATAATACGTTTACAAAAAAAAACCCTCCCGATCTTTGCAAACTTCACCAGCCCCACAAACCTCTGATATGTCTGCGCTCCACTAATTGTGGCCTGCGGTAGATCTCCAATCTTAATGAATGCACCAAGTCCTGTAAGACCCAATGTCACGATTCCCCCCACCCCACCACCATCTAACGTCTAGCTTTCCTCGTTGAGATCACTTTAAAATATACCGCTTTCACGGTTTTTCATCATCTCTAGCACTGTCAGTGGCTTTCTGTTGTATAATATTCCTGTGGTGTGTTATATTGAATATTGAAGTAAAGTTAGAACTTCTCCCAACTTTCAGGCTGAGCGGGAACGCTTCCCACGACAAAGGCGCTTTGACAGTGCAGTACAGAGGAGTAGAGCAGATATTAAGGAGAACCTGGTGGTTGCAGCAGATCAGGGAATCCACCGCGACGATAGCTGCAGAGACAAATGGAGCGCGTGCAAGACAAACCGGACTGACCTGGAGAAGATGGTGCCCCCGCTAGCAGCTGCCAAGGGTAGGTGTTAAAGTGCATTATGCTCACACCCCATCGCTGTTCCACACTGCTCCACATTGTCCCAACCCTGGGACAGCACAGTGCTTTCTCACTGATCCCTCACTGCTCCACACTGTCCCAGCCCAGGGACTGCTACCACACCATCTTAGTCCACTTCCCACCCTTCCCTGTCTCCCTATATGACAGTGTTGACAGGTAAATGGCCTCTGTATCTAGCTGGTTGTGCTGACCAGCTTGTGCGTTAGTCTCAACGGGCTGAGTAACCCAAGTGTCTGTCTCAATGGATTGAATATCCTGTGCTTCCTTCCTGCTGTCTGACATTGTGGTCTCTGTGGTTTGTTACAGATGCCACTGTGGTCGTGGTGGTCAGCAAGGCGAACGTGCTGCAGGCCATCTACTTCCAGGACAGCAGCATGAAGCAGACCTTCGAGAGATATCCCGAGGTGCTACTGTTGGACGTCACGTACAAGTGGGACGGCCTGCGGCTGCCCACCTTCCTGCTGCTGGTGATTGATGGCAATGGCGAGAGCGAGCTGGTCTGCATGTGGTTCGTCCAGAACGAGGAACACGAGACCATCAAGCAGCTACTGCACATCTTCAAGCAGAAAAACCCGGCGGCAGAGAGGATCCAGACAGTCATGTGCAGCGGAAAGCCCAACCGGGGCGAAGTCATCTCCGAGGTGCTGCCGCACTGCAAGCCGCTCACCTGCCTCTTCCATACCCTGCGTACCTTCCAGGCAGACGTCACCACTGACAAGCTGCAAGTGACGGTTGGACAGCGGTGAGTACTGATGTTTTGCTACTGCTCCAGGATACGACTGGACCTTTACCCTGTGCAGTTCTGTTAGGGGCTGTAGTTGTGACCAGGACGCAACCAACCTTCACACCCTACCTTCATCCTTCTCCTCCCCTTCCTCCCCCAAACTCCCTGCCTTGCCGGCCGTCACCTCTATCTCAGTAGCTAATTCGTAAGGCAGCCTGGTGGAACCTGGCTGAGAGTTACGTCTTTTAGGAGAGGGCTGGGAACACTTAGGAGAAGAAATACCTCTCCGCTACTATTTCTGTTTCAAACTTACTCTAACTGCATCAGACTATATGTGTGCCTCTTATATATTATTTGCTACATTTATCAATTTCAATCTCAAGATTTTTCCGTCTGTCAGCTTACCTATCAACTTGCTATTTTTCCCAACACCTCTCTCGCTCAATGGCTCTACCTCCCTCTAATTCTCCAGTAACATTGCTATATATCAATAGAAGTGTCAACCTGTACATTTCTTGTTAGCTGAGTTTCATAATGATTTCTGTAACATCTTTGTTTAATTTTCTACTTCGCTTTAATTTTCTACTTAGGTTTTCTTTTAATTTGTTCATAGGGTGTGGCCAAGATTTATTGCCCATCCCTAATAGCTCTGGAGAAGGAGGTTGTGAGCCATGTTTGTGAGTTTTTACATGGCAAGGAGTGTTAATGACCCACAGTGTTTCCAAGAAGGGATGTCCAGGATTTTGATGCAGTAACAGTAACGGAGCAGTGGAATAGTTCTAAGTCAGGATGGCATGTGGCTTGGAGGGAAGCTTGCAGTTGCTGATGGTATTCCCATGTACCCATTGCCCTTTTACTTCTGGGTGTTGGAAGTTGTAGGTTTGGAAAGTGCTGTCAGAAGAGTCTTGGTGAGTTGCTGCAGTGCATCTTGTAGATGATATGCTCTGTGCCCCCCCCCACCCCCATGCATCAGCGGTGAAGTGAGTGAGTGTGAAAAGTAATGGATTTGGTGCCTTTAAAGCAGGCTGCTTTACCCTGGATGGTGTCATCCTTTATGAGTGTTGTTGGAGCTGCACTCGTTCAGGCAAGTGAGGAGTATTCCATCATACTCCTGACGTACCTTGTAGATGTTGGTCAGGGATTGGTGAGTCAGGAGGTCATTTATTTGCCACAGAACTCCTAACCTCTGACTTGCTCTTGAAGCCACAATATTTATATGATTGATGCGGTTCGGGTTTTGGTCAAAGGTAACCCGAAGTGTTTATAGTGAGGGATGCAGTGAAGGTAATACCATTAAGAATCAAGTATTGATGGTTAGATTCTCAATTGTTGGAGCTGGTCATTGCCCAGCAATTGTGTAGCACAATGTTACAATTATCAGACCAAGCCAAATGTTGTCCAGGTCTTGTTGCACGTGGGAACTGTCTGCTTCAAATGCTGAGCTTTGGTGACCATGCTTACTTCCGTCCTTATGATGGATGGAAGGTCATTGATAAAGCAGCTGAAGATGGTATGTCCTAGGACGTAACCCTGAGGAACTCCTGTGGAGATGTCTTCGAGCTGAGATGACTGACCTCCAACACCCAAAACCATCTTCCTTTGTGCAGGTATAACTCCATCCAGCAGAGAATTTTCCCCAGTTCTCATTGACTCCAGTTTTGTCAGGGTTCTTCGGAGCAGTCTTGATGTCAAGGGCAGCCACTCTTGACTCGCCTCTGGAATTCAGCTCTTTTGCCCATGTTTGAAACAAGGCTCCAGGGGTCAGGAGCTGAGTTGCTCTGCCAAACTGAGCATCGGTAAGCAGGTTATTCTTTTGTGGGTACTACTTTAATTAAGGATATCTGGTCAGTATGGATGAGTTGGACCGAAGGGTCTGTTTCCGTGTGGGGTGGATATTCAATGTTATAGCTGTACTGGAGCTCAGTTAGAGGTCCAGCAAGTTCTGGAGCACAAGCCTTCAAAACCAATGGCAGAATGTCACCAGAGTCCATAGCCTTTATAGTATCCAGTGCAGAATTGGCTCAAGGCTGGCATCTGTGTTGGTGTGGACCTCAGCAGCAGGCCACACTGCAATATTCACTCTGCACTTCTGGCTAAAGATGGATGCAAATGTTTTATCAAGGTGTAGAGCTGGATGAGCACAGCAGGCCAGGCAGCATCAGAGGAGCAGGAAAGCTGATATTTCGGGTCAAGACCCTTCTTCAGAAATGGGGGAGGGGAAGGGGGTTCTGAAATAAATAGGGAGAGAGGGGGAGGCGGATAGAAGATGGATAAAGGAGAAGATAGGTGGAGAGGAGACAGACAGGTCAAAGAGGCGGGGTTGGAGCCAGTAAAGGTGAATGTAGGTGGGGAGTTAGGGAGGGGATAGGTCAGTCCAGGGAGGACCCTTGGGCCGGTTCGCAACAAACAACTACACCTCCCAGTCGCAAACGATTTCAACTCCCGCTCCCACTCCTTGGACGACATGTCCATCCTGGGCCTCCTGCAGTGCCACAATGATGCCACCCGAAGGCTGCAGGAACAGCATCTCATATTTCGCTTGGGCACCTTGCACCCCAAGGGTATCAATGTGGACTTCGCAAGCTTCAAAATCTCCCCTCCCCCGACCGCATCCCAAAACCAGCCCAGCTCATCCCCGCCTCCCTAACCATTCCTCCCACCTCAAGCCCCACCCCCATCTCCTAACCACTAGCCTCATCCCGCCTCCTTGACCTGTCCGTCCTCCCTGGACTGACCTATCCCCTCCCTAACTCCCCACCTACATTCACCTTTACTGGCTCCAATCCCGCGTCTTTGACCTGTCTGTCTCCTCTCCACCTATATCCTTTATCTATCTTCTATCCGCCTCCCCCTCTCTCCCTATTTATTTCAGAATCCCCTTCCCCTCCCCCATTTCTGAAGAAGGGTCTCGACCCGAAACGTCAGCGTTCCTGCTCCTCTGATGCTGCTTGGCCTGCTGTGTTCATCCAGCTCTACACCTTGTCATCTCAGATTCTCCAGCATTGGCAGTTCCTACTATCTCTGCAAATGTTTTAGCCTTATTTTTTGCGCTGATGTTCTGGGCTGTCCCATCGGTGAGGATGGGGCTATTTATGGAGCCGCCTCTTTTTGTTACTCCTTTCATTACCCACCATATTAACAACTCAATATGGTGGGATTGCATCTGTTGGTTGTGTGGTCACTTAGTCCTGTTTTATTGCATGCTGCTTACACTTTCAGATCATCCAGTTATGACTTCATACCTCATTTTTGGATATGCCTGGTGCTGCTCCTGACTTGTCCACCTGCACTTTTTATTGAACCAGTGTTGATTTCCAACTTGATGGGAAATGCTGGAGTGTGGTGTGAGGTTACAGATTGATTTGATTTGTTGTTGTCACATGTACCTGAGTATGGTGAAAAGTTTTGTTTTGCATGCAGTACAGGCAAATCGTATCACACAAAGACAAACAGATCATAGGGTGATTAAACCAATGTAAGGCATACAAAGTTACAGCTGCACAGGAGGTGTACAGGACTGTGTTTGAAAATGATACTGCTGCTAGAATGCAAGAGCATAGACGTACTGCTGAGTCTATGTAAGGCTCTGGTCAGATCCCATGTGGAATATTGTGAGCAGTATTGGGTTTTGTATCTCAGGAAAGATGCGTTGGCCTTCAAGGGGATCCAGAGGAGGTTTACAAGAATGATCCTGGGAATGAAGGGCTTGTCATATAAGGAGAGATTGAGGAGTCTGGGTTTGTATTTGATGGAATTAAGAAGGATGAGAGGGGGATCTCTCTTGAAACTTACAGAATAACAGAGGCCTGGATAGAGTGGATGTGGGGAAGATGTTTCCACTAGTGGGAGTGGTGAGGACCCCAGGGCACAGTCACAGATGGAAGGAATGACCCTTTAAAACTGATCTGAGGAGGAACTTCTTCAGCCAGAGGTATATTAATCTGTGGAACTCATTGCTGCAGAGGGCTGTAGAGGCCACATTGTTGAGTGTATTTAATTTAGAGATAGGTTCTTCATTAGTAGGGGGATCAATGGTTATGGGGAGAAGGCAGGAGAATAGAGTTGAGAGACATGTCAACCATGATCGAATGGCAGGGTGATTCAGTGGGCCGAATGGCCTAATTCTGCTCCTATATCGTACGATTGACTACAGCACCTCATAGATGTGCAGTTTTGAGTTTCTAGATTAGCTCAAGTCAGTCTTATTTGTGATGGTAATAGTGCCGTACAATATGATAGAGGATGTCCTGGGTCTGCAGACAGGACATTGTCTCCACAAGGACTGTGCTATAATGATTCCTTACCAATACTACTGTTGATAGACTTATCTGCAACAAGGCGATTGCTGAGAACGAGGTGAAGCATGTTTTTCGATTTTGTACATTACCTCATCGCCTGCTGTAGACCTAGTCTAGCACCTATGACTTTTAGGACTTAAAACAGTTAGGTCATTAAAGGTGCTACTGAGCCACTCTTGGTGGTAGACTTTGAAACCCCTCACCTGGAGCACCTGCTGTGCTCTTCCCACCCTATTCTTCCAGATGGTGCTGAACACGGCAGAGGACTGATTCCTCATCTGAGAGCTGGTGGGAGACAATAATCAATAGGAGGCGGCCTTGCCCACATTTGACCTAATGCCAGGAGAAATTAATGTTGAGCACTTGCAGGGCAACTCCACCCTTACTGATACCACTGTGCCACCACCTCTCCTGGATCTGTCCTTCTGGGGGATAGGACACACTCTGGGGTTGGTGTCTGGCAGTTATTTCTGAGGTATGATTTTCTGAGTACATCTGTCAGACTAGTCTGTGGGCCAGCTTCCCAAATTTAGTACAAACTCCCGGATGTTAGTAAGCACGACTTTGCAGAATCAATGGGACTCAGCTTGCTGTTATTGCGTCCTGTGCCAGTTTTGACACCAGGGTGGTCCGTCCAATTTTGTTCCTTCCTTTAGACTGTAATGATTTTTGATGCAACTGAGTTGCTTGCTAGACCAGTTCAGAGGGCAGCTAAGACAC